GGTCAGCAGTCCCAGATTTAATGGCCTACAAAGCGTCTGGCGTGGGTAAGTTCCCTGTTTATGTTGTTTCACAATGTTTTATTATTACGGAGGTACACTCTTCCCAAGAAGAACCAAAAATTATGGGGAAATTATTAAATTGATGTATATTCTGCTGTACATATTTTAAACAACAGGAAAAAACAGAGTAAAAAGAAACTAAAGCAGGACTATGAGAGTCGTTGCCAGAATTTGCAGACCCTTGGCCCAGAAGAATCTAGATTTGCAGTGAGCAGAATGGGGGATGCCAGCAGCAAACTCTGAGAACACCGCAAAGGCTATGAGTAAGGAGATGGGAGATAAACAGAGATTGGACACAGTCCAGATTCACAAAGAAAGTCTTCCGCAAGTCCAGGGGCACTCTGAAGGAACATCCTGGCTACTCATATACAGTCACTAATCTTCAGGGAAATAGCAAAGTTCTTGAAAATATAAAACAAATCAGAAGAAGAAAGGACCTAGGGGATTTAGAAAAGAAAGGTTTGAGCATTCTGAGTCCCAGTTAATGACACGAAGACACTTTTGAATCAATGAGAAAAGCAATGTTTTTAGAGAAAAGTTTCTTGGACTCCTTGAATGGATAAGAAAGAATCTCTAGTTTTCCCTTTGGTGTTTCCAAAATCACTCCCTGTCCCCAAGCATTTCAGCATCCCCTGAAAGCACACCAAGACAGACGTGGGATAGTACTAGATACTTATCAAGTTGTTGTATACTATTTTTATGTAAACTTTTTCCCTTTTTCCTCCCTTTTTTTAAAAAAAAAATTGTGATCTTAATGAGAGTTTACTGAAAAGTTGGATTTTCATTCATTATTGCACATTTTTCTCCCTACTCACCCCTAGTTCACAGTAAAAAATATCTTCATTCATTGATGCCTAATTTCCCCCCTCCCCCTGTAAACTTCTTTCAGTGCATATAAATATGTGTAAAACGAAAAAAGAATCTGCGCATTACCTCCAGTGTGAAAACGCAATTTCTCTTGTCATAAAAGAGAAAAAGAAAATGAATGATAAGCGTAATTCTTAAAACTTAATTACTCTTGCAGAAACTGTGGACCAAGTCCTATCCTGTTTGTGGTGGAAGGTCACAGTGAACGTGGAGAGCACACACTGACAAGGCTTCAAGGGGAGAATTAAGCTCAGTTACAGTACAAAGTGTGTTCCTATGCCAATCCTCTTCAGAGGGTCCCTTGTTGAGCAGTCTAGAGCACATTAGTGAAGCTGGCCCATTGCCCTCACCCTTGGGCTATTAAAAACATGCAGGGGACCCGTTCCATCACAGACCCTGCTTACCCAGGGCGAATACCAAACCAAGGACAGGACAGCTGCAATATAGCGGGGTCAAGACTTAGCATATTTATAATTTGATTTTCTCTATGCTCTTTGGCTGCCCTTTTTACATAGAAGGAAAATGGTGGTCTTACTGTCAATGAGTACTTGACTGATCCTAGTTCTGAGAGGTGATGGTGGTGGTTGTTGTGCACCCTCAAGTCGGAACCAACTCGTACCTGACCCTCTAGCAGGTTTTCATAGACAGTTAATCACACAGGCAGAGACTATTAATCCTTCTGCATAACAGCTGGTCGATTTGGAACACCACACCTTTGACATTGGAGCACAGGTCCTTAACCTTAGGCCACCAGAGCTCTCTCATCCTGATATTTTGAAGGTTGAATTAACATGTAGAAATGGAAGGAGGGACAGTCAGACAATTTGCGCTATCTGCTTTTAGTTTACGTGACTTGGATGGAGCCTGGCCTCTTTCTATGCTCACTAGCTCTCTGGATCAGTTAGCACTGCGGTCTGGAGACCACATCCTCAATAGAGCATGGCTCCATGATTGGCCTTGGACAGATCACTCCTTTCAGTCTGGTGTCCTAATCTATGCTGAGATTGGAAATCTCAGTTTCCTCCAGTTTTCACAATTCTAGGGGATATGGGCAAATCTTATGGTTCCAAATACCAAGAGTAACTCTGAGATATCTGGCACATGTCCTTTTTATGAAAGAATGTTCTCATTTCCTTGAGGTTAAACGATCCAAGGCAGTCACTAACAAGAGATAGTACACAATGCTGTTAATTTTATATTCTTCCAACAGTCAGGAAGGTCATATGAAATCCCTGGGTAGCACAAAAATTTTGCACCAACGGGGAAGAAAAGGAATGATAAACAGCACCACAGGAGAAGAAACCTGGCAGTTGACTGCCTGAAACATAAACAATATAAAAAAAATATGGTGGTGTTGATAGGATTGTAAATGGTACAATTACTCTGAAACATAGTTTGGCATTTCTTTCCTCAAAAACCTAAATATAACAACTGCATATGACCCAGCTATTCCACTACTAGGAATATATCTCAAGCAAATTAGATCTGAGACACAAACAGAGATTTTTTACACTAGTCTTCAGAGACTCATTATTCCCCATCTCAAGAACATGAAAACAGCCCAGATGTCCTAATAAAACTGAGTAGGTTGAGAAATTGTGGTACATTTACACAATGGAATACTATGCAGCACTCTGAAGCACGTTTTCTACAAATAATACCTAACTTGGGAGAGTCTAGAGAGCATTATACTGAGTAAACTGACTCAGTCTCATAAGGACAAATACTGTATAAGGCCATTTTTGTAAAAGTAAAATGATAACTAGCAAAACATGTGGGGATCCAAGGCAGGAAGTTGTGGGAGCAGAGAGGTGAGGGTGGGTAGGAGTGAAATCACAGAACTGCACAATTTGATGGGTAGAAGGAGAAAAAAAATGAAATTATAAAGTTCTGCTGGGACCCTGAAAAGACAGTGTCATGGTATTCATAGTCCAATAGTGATTAATATTCTAAAATATGATACATGGGAATGATTATATGAAACACAATGTGAATGAAGAATAGTGTGAATCACAATACATATGAAACTTTGTAAGGAAACCAATATAAAGCAAAAGTTAAAACAACTAACGAAAGTGAAAATACATGAAAACTGTTCTGCTGTGTTAATTTTGACTTGGTGACACCGCTGAATAGAGCAGAAATGCTCTGCAGGGCACCTGGGTCTGAACAAGCTCTAGGAGCAGACAGCCCCACTTTCTTTGGTGGAGCAGGTGGTGTGTTTGAATCTCTGAACTTTGGGGCAGCAGCAGAGAACGTTAGCCACTATACCACCAAGGACTATATTCTGTGGAGATGACAGATTACAAACCCTCCTGAAACAGTTCTGGTTTGTAAGATATGAGGCCTCCATGAATTGAAACAGTGACCCCATTTTACTTGGATCCACAGTCAACATTCATGGCAACAATTGGAAAGTAAAAAAAAAAAAAAGACATGTTGCATTTGGAAAATTTGCTGTCAAGGATCTCTCCAAAGTTAACAAAAGCAAGGATATAATTTTAAAGTAAAGTGCATCTCACTTCAGCTGGGACCTCTCCAAATTATTGAGAAGTAATGTCACTTTGAGGACTAAGGTGCATCTGAATCAGGTTGTAGTCTCTCTGATTACTTGCTATGGCTCTGAGAGCCAGACAGTGAATTAGGATGATAGAAAAAGAATTGACACCTTTTAGCTATGGTGTGGGAGAAGAACACTGAACATCCCATGCATGGCTAAGAGAACAAACAGGTATACCTTGGAGAGGGTGCAGATGTAGTGTCCTTTGGAGGCAAGAATGATGAGGCTTCTCCTCACCCATTTTGGGCATGTTGCTAGGAGGTGCTATTCCTTGAAGAAGACATGATGTTAGGAAGGATGGAGCGTCGACGAAGGAGAGGAAGACCCTCAACTAGATGGATTGACATGGTGACAGCTGCAGTAGGGTCTTGTCAGGAAATGTGAAGATGGCTCTGGATAGAGTAGAGTTCAGACCTGTTGTTCATAGGGTCATTAATATTCATGCTTATTTTGAAGGCACTTAACAACAACAAAGTGCACCTTATTTAAACTATGATTTTTCAATTGCTTCATATGGTTCTGAAAGGTGGACAGTTGGAACAAAGGTGAAAGAAGAAGAGTCAATGCCTTTGTTTCTCCTGAATTGTGGCATTGGAGAAATACTGAATACCTCATAGACTACAAAGAACAAGCATTATCTGTCTCTTAAGAAGTGCAGTCAAGTTGTGTCTGAGAGGCAAGGATGATGAAATTTCATCTCATGTACTTTGAGCATATATTGTGAGAAAGTGCCAGGACTTGGAAAAAGACATCATGTTTAAAAAAAGGTGCAGAGTTGGGGGAGCTCTGGTGGCCTAGTGGTAAGGAGCTGCAACTACAATCCCAGAGGCACACGGTTCAAATCCACCACATGCTCTGCCGGAGAAGGAGGGACAATCTCCTCCTGTACCAGTCAGATCTGATTTGACGGTACACTCACACACACACACACAAAATAAAAATAAAATAAAATAAAAAAAGATGGAGAGTCAGTGAGAGATAGAAGAAAACCCTTGACAGGAAGAACTGATAACAGTTTCTGTAACAGTGGACTCGATCCTGTCAGAGATCAGGAGAATGGCTCAGGACAGGGCAAGGTTCAAATCTCTTGTTCTTTGAGTTGCTGTGAGTGGTAGGCAGCTTGACAACATCTACCAATGATGATAGCAATGGCTCAAGAGAAAACCTAAAGGCCAGTGTTCTTAAGTTAAAGAAAGTAACATATGTAAGATCATCTTATACATAGGCTGGCTTGGCCCACTGCTCTTGACAATGGACTGTGATATATCAAAGATCATAAAGGTGGAACAGTACTCGGTGATGTTTTGTTAGTAGAGCACAAGGTAATTTGCAGCAGTTTTCCTTCCCAAAAGCCTCTGCTGAGTCAAGGTGTGTCAGTCAGCACTGACAGGTGAGTCTTATCTCACCCTTATCTGATTTCTACTAGAGGAGGAGCCGAGTGGAGGTGGGAGAGCCATCCTGACCCAGACGTTGGTTATAAAAGTGCTTGGCCATTGTAAGAGCGGAAGGAACCATGTCTTTCCTTGGGCTGCTGCTCTCGCTCCTTCTGCTGACCTCATCACTGCTGCAGCCAACATCATCACACTCGGTGTTGAAAGATATTAAAAACCATGCTGATAGAGAAAAAATGCGTATGGCAGATGTGATCCTGTCCTCCCTGAATGCATCTACTACCTGCCTGGAGAAGAAGGGGGATCTCTTTGTGGATGACTTGATTTGTCTCCGAATTCTGCAAGGTGAGTGGGGTCCCAGTCATGCTCTACTCTGACCGAGTGTGCACTCCAGGAGTCCAGTGACCATCAGGTAGATGAGTAGTCTGCTCTGGCCATGGAGAGGAACAAATGAGTGACACTTTTCTCCTGAATGTCCCGGACCTGGACGAGACGCTTATGGACAATATATTTTAGACATATGACTTCAATTTGATAGTATAAAAAAATTGCATGTTGTTATTTTTATAGTTAAAGATCTTTTGCGCTTCTCTGTTACCATGGTACGAGCAAAGCGGAGATCAGAGTGTCTTCTTTCAGTGCACATTGATGGGGTGACTACTCCCGTGGCAGGATGGGGGTCCTGAGAATAGAGACCCTCAAAGCTGAATTCCAATCTGAGTTTCCTCTGCTCCAGAAGAAGCTCCCGGGCGGTGCTGAGAGAACAGAGTAGTGCTTTTGAGCTTTGGAAGATTGAAGATGGCAGCACCTTCAGCTGGGATGTGAGCAGTGCATTTCCCAAACCACCCATCATCTCTGTGGTGGTGGCAGAGTTTGCTCACACTTGGAAAGTCTGGGTTCCACAGGAGGTTGGGTTACAGGACAAATCAGCTTCAGTCCCTGGAGCAACACCTTGACTTCACAACCATGTGGTCTCCTCACATTTCCTGCTGTAACCCTTGTATACCAGGTTTCCCTCTAGATGGGCCCCAGATTTACATCTGCACCCCCATCTACCAGCATGGACTAGGGTGAGGCAGGAAAAGAAGCACCAAACTTTGAGCTGATCTAACTTGTCTCTGTTGGATTTGTAGGAAGGTCCTTGTGTGACTCCCAGGCATTCTTGCTGGGACCCTCTCTCTCCCTTCATCGCTGAATATTTATTCCCTTGTTTAATCTCTTTTCTCTTTCAAAGGAGATTGACTGAATACACATCCTGTGCGAATACACAATCATTTACATGGCAAAGGAAAGCCATTTCCAAATGGAATTGTAATCAATACAGGGCTTAGGATTTAAAACAATATTTTTTTGAGGGGCAGAAGTACAACCGCTAGTGGTCACAAGTGAGAGGAACTGTGAGATAGGATGCACATATACATTTTAGAGGGAGATGCAATTAAAGCAAATGCAGTAAGTGTTATACCTACATACTTCTCCTGCACACATGGAAGAATGGACTAATTGTTTTCCTTTCTAGCGTATGTCAAAGGCGTTACTGAGCCATGGGCCAGGAACTCCGTGATGGAGCCAATAAGCAAAAAGATGAAGACATTCTCCCTGAAACTGGAGGAGCTTTTCAACAGATCCAGTTCTCATCTGTTCGAGGCTTTATCTAACAACCTAAGCGGTAAGTACCCACCTAATAAATGTGTTACAGCCTCCTCTGAGGCATGGGATGGTCAGAACCACCTATCACCCTAGACAAGCCTAATTGCTGTTTAAGTGTTTCACCTGGACTTGACTCTAGATTAGAAGGTCCCTCCCTCCCATGTAGTTATTAGGAATCAGCAAGTTGAGAGTCATAGTGACCTGATGAACACCAGATCTGAGCCTTGACCTGTCTTGTGCCTCTGAGGACACTGTTTGCACTTTTCCAAGAGCGGTTGGCTTGTTGTGTGGGCAGTCCATGGTAATCAGAGTGTCCTTGACAGCACATTGCCAAGAGCACCACATCTTTTGGTGTCTAGACTGCTATTAGCATGTTGATTGTGAAGTGAAGTAAAATGAGCTAGTTGACAACGTCAGTCTTTTTCTCCATCTATCACAGTGTGTCATCAACTTTTTCAATAAGGAGAATGTCAGTCAAGTTTAGGCTTCCCACTCCCATAATTGTAGTCCTCATCCTAGAATCGTGGTTTATACCAGAGTGTGGAAGATCTAGACAGTAATCGAACCGCTTCTACTGCAAAGACTAGCATCTTGCTATAATGTTCTTTGGTTCCTAAACTACACTAGTGTCTATTCTTGTTAGCATGGAGTCACCGTATAAAGGTCATTTTATAACATTAGTACTATGTTGTATTAATGGCTGGTGTGGGTCCAAATTACTAATTCATCAACTTCAGCTCAGGTGACTTCATGGGTAGCAGAGGAGAACTGTCACTGATAGCATTATCAATGGTTGATATGTTAGAAGATTGCAAAGCCTGTATTCTGAGGCTATTCAATGAATTGGAACCTCTAAGCTTTTGATTAGAATCCACTTACATTAACCATTAGCAACACCCACGGATTCTGAAATCCAAGGAATCAAGCGTTGCTGTTGTTAAGAGCTATGAAGTCATAGGCGACTCATAGTTACCCTATGAATGAAAAGGCCTCAGCACTTGCATGACTTTCATCCTTTCTCCAGGTTCATAGGGTGTCTGCAGGCAAGCTATTTAAGGAAGTGGTGCCACTCCTGAATCATGTAGTAATTGTAAAATTTCTCAAGGTTCCATATATGATGCTTTCAATTTTATCTAAGCCAAGAGACCTGGTGGTGCTGTATTGTGTTGCTAAAATGCCAACGATAAGTTGCAGAACTCAAATCTACTGTGGTATAGTGGGTTTAAAATGGGAGGCCCTCTCTTTCATTAAAGATGGTCTTTGGAAGACAATTCAGGATCGTTTTCTTCACTCTACAGGCCTGTATTGAGTTGACAATGATTTTATAACGCATAGTACAAGAAAAGTCAGTAGCCTGGTTAGGCTCTATGCCTGATTTAAAAAAAAAAAGAAAAATTAATGTCTTTCTAGAATGACTTGTGGTAAATGTACCCCCCCCCAAAAAAAAATGACTTGAAGTCAAACAGGCTTGTGGAAGGGCTCATGGTCAGCTTGATGTGGGGCATTAATATAATTCCATCTCAATCTCAGAACCTAGAGTGAAGGTGAATCAGCCAGTGCACACTTATGTCGGAAACACTCGCGAACTGTAACTTACCCCGTGCAGCTTTCTTTCTGAGGCCTGTATCTAATATTAAAGAAGCCCCTTGACTGGATGTATATTTTATATCTCAGGCACTGGGTAGTTAGTTATTCTTATCTCTGCCATTGTCCAGCACTACTTTGAATTTTCTCTCTTTTAGAATTTGAATGGATCATCCAAGCAGATTTCTGGAAGGTTCCTCAACCTTTGCTCCTTACCCATGACACAATGATTCTTAATGTTTTAAGCCTCCCAGAACCTCTGAAGGCGAATATAAGTGAGGAATGCATAGTGAATCTACTGCAGAGCAGGTGGGTTCAAAGGACTAACCCTACTCCCTATAGACCTCAAAGCGCTCTCGTTGGGTTCGAAGGTCCCCCTGCTCTAAATCCAATGGTCTATGCAAACTTCAGTCCACGTGCCCAGGAATCACAGACACCTGTTCCTCCTTCCTCTATCCTGGCCCTTTTCAGCTCATTCATCACTTTGCACAAAGCTCACCTCTTCCGTCCACACCACTGTATCCTTTATGGCCCAACCTCACCACTCGTGCACTCCATCCATTGTTCTGACTGATCTTGATTCCCTTCTCCCTCATTTTATTCAGGGTACTCTTCCCAATCCAGCACCTTTAGTGAAATATGTTGTTGTTGTTGTTGTTGTTGTTGTTGTTGTTGTTGTTGTTGTTAAGTGCCGTTGAGTCACAGGCGACTCATAGTGACCCTATGAATGAAAGTCCTGGACACCTCCTGTCTAACTTTTGTCCTTTCTCCAGGCTCATAGGGTTTCCAGAGGCAAGCTATTGTGGAAGTGGATGCCTCTTCTGCTTCCAAGCTTGTTTTAATTGGGGAGCTTCACCAAACACTGTCCACCATGGGTAACCATTCTCGCATTTGACTCATCAGTGTCACAGTGTTCGGCTTCAAAGCAACCATGAATTTCCTCTCTACAGCAAGCGTACATACCAGGGTTACATGATCTAAAAGAATGTTTCACCAGAACCAATGAAAGGCAGGCCTGATAGGTTCTCCAAACCCATAAGCTTCTGAGGGGAAGAAAAATGAGACAGCCAGCTTCCATAAAGATGACTTGCAAGTTTTAAGACTTGGTAGAATTTCTCTTCTATAGAATTGTTGCATCGGAATCAAGTTGATGTCAGGGCCTGAGGAGAGTAGTTACCAGCACATGATCATACCCAGAGGAGCTGTAGGCATGAATGGGAAGCTCCATGATGTCAGATTCCTTTTAATGACTCACAACACCTTTTCCCTGCCAGTGGTCACCCCGAATCTTGCACATACTCAGACACCTGCAGGTACATAGTGACCAAGCCTGTCAACACACACGGCCAGAGAATCTTCCAGCTGATGTACTTCCTTTTCTCTGAAATGGTAAGTATGAGTTTGGCAAGGTGTGTGGGAGAACAAGATGGGTATACAAGAGACTATGATATAAGCATCCTCGATGATTCAGTTAAGGAAGTGACCAAAATTCTCGTGAGAATCTGCTTACTTCTGAGGAGGCAAGGCTTGTCTCATGTCCTATGGCGATGTGATCAGCATGAGTTAGAAAAAGATTCCATGCTCAGTGAAATATAAGGCCAGTAAAAAGAGATGAGTACTTTGAATGAGATGGACTGACAGTGGCGAGGATTGAAGTTTCAATAATTTCATCTCTTTTTCAGTGTAAGCATAATGCTTCGTTAACAGCTTATCAGGGTTGATGACAGGGGACTATGGAACTTTGTAAAGACGTTTCTCAAGTCCTGTCCTCCTGGCATCACTGGAGATGTGCTGTCCCTGACTCAGAATGCTTACCCCCGCCGGCCAAGATCAAGTGTCTAGGACAGGGTAGGGTCAGCACTTGAACTCTCCTCTCTCTCACTCAGAGTAGTTTGAGAGTGACAAAGTCCAAAGAGGGAGTGGAGATCCTGATAAATCTTGTAAAATAGGGTGAAGCTCTGCCCAGTTCAGCCACTTGACCTACCACCTGAGAATGCAGATCCTTCCCAGGAGCGGTGGCCGCCCTTATCTGTCATTGGTGCTGACTTCTTTGTCTCTGGGGTTTGTCCTCCAGATTGGTTGCACAAATGGGATGTTTGCAAACACCCAAGACTACATGAACTTCTTCTGTACCAACTTGATGGAAGAGAATATAGAAATTGAAAACAGCAAATACCACAGTTCCTATCGCGATCATTTTTTGGAAACCAGTAAGTCCCTCACTTCTTGTTCAAAGTAGCAGGGTCTTTATTTTTCAGAAATAAATGTCTACACACATTGACATGTATATGACAGCACATGTGCACATGAATTCAAGACATGTGTATGTACACATGAACATGCAAAACCCCAGGCAGGCATATATTTATGCACACTTGCGGACACAGTTGGAAACATACGCTTGTATACACACAGTAATATTTATGTTCAATTGTATGTGTGTCTGTGTGTGTGTGTGTATACGAAGAATTTTTCTATATTGTTGTTGTTGTTGTTATGTGCCATCAAGTCACTTGTGACTCATAGCGACCCTATGTACAACAGCCCTAAATTCTGCTCTGTCCTGTGCCAATTGCACGGTCTCTGACATACCCATCCCGATTACCCCAGTCACTGCATTAATTCACCTCATAGAGGGCCTTCCCCTCCTGCACTGTCCCTCCACCCTCCCAAGCATGATGTCCTTCTCTGAGGACCGGTCCCTCCTTACAACATGTCCAAAGTATATTAGACGGAGCCTCAGAATCCTTGCCTCCAAGGAGCCGCCTGGTTCAACCCTTTCCAGGATGAATATGTTTGTTTTACTAGCAGTCCATGGTACTCTCAGTACTCTTCTCCAGCACCACAGCTCAAAGGCATCAATTCTCCTTGTATCCTCTTTGGTCATTGTCCAACTCTCTGATGCATTTCCTATATAGGAAGTGAAAATACCAGATTTCCAGTTGGATTTAAATTCCCAATAAAGATAAATGTTTATTTCAGATAAAATGTTTTGTAGTATCACATGTGATCGATTTATACAATGGAAAGTACTTTGGTTCTCAAGACTCACAGTTTGCCAACTTCCACAGGGTTAACTTTTATTGCCTTTCAACCAATTGATTTAATGGAAAAATGTTTTCATCTTGTAACAGGTCTTATATAACAATTCTGAATTTCATAGGTTTTATTGTAGTGAAAAGGGACTCAAATTCCAAGATAATTGAATGTGTTCCATATTTCATCTAAGAGATTTGCTTCCTACCTCCCCAAACTGTCCCAGTTATTGAACTCTGGACAGACTAATGGAACAAAGGCAGACTGAACGACTCAGAGATGAGATCAGAAGGGAAGCCTTGGGTTTTACACTTAGGTATAAGGGCTAATTCAGAGAATGATATTTTAAAATATTTTTATTTAAAATATTGTTCTTAAAAGTAGATTTTAAGACTATACTTTCACAGATCATTTCTATAATTCATTATCATATTGGATACAATAAGAATTATTGAGTATTAGTATGTCCCATGTATTATATTTTTATATTGGTATGTGTACAAAATGCATTTACATTGTGTTTCACATTGCTTCGTACAATCATTCCCACTCATTGTATTCTGTAAAATCAGTCACCCTTGAACTATGCCCCCATTACCCTGTGTTTTCAGATTCCTGATGTATCTTTCCCATTTCTTTCATCCTCTCCCTCCACCTATCAAATTCTGCAATCCCATGATTTTCACCCCCATCCTCACACCTCTTCTACCACTCCTTCCCCCCTTTGACCCTCATACACATTTTATTAGCCATGAACTGATTTTAATATAATTATCTATTGGGGTTGACCTTCAGATCATGTGATCATTTCCAACCTTGAACATCCTTGACCTAGACCCCAAGCAAGAAGCAGAGCACAAATCGAGGAGCCTCTGTGGTGAGGGTGGAGCTGTGGGTGCTTCTTCCAGCTAGTTTTTCATGGGTCATCTTCTGGGCTGACAGGACCTTGGTGGAAGAGCCAGGTGATGGGGTTTGGTGGAGGAGGTGAACCAAGGAGGTAGGCCATACAGAATGACCCCCTCTCTTTCTTTGTTTCAGCCATGCTGTGTGGAACTGCTGGATTCTTTGATTTTTACAAATCCCACTGGTTTGTGAATATCTTCCACTGGCAGAAGGCTACAGACGGATGCTTCAGCACAGCTTGTAAGTGGTGGTGGAGTGAAGAATGAGACATAGGGATGGACTGAACATTCTAGACAAAGTGAGGCAGGGATCTTGTGTGATAGGTGCACAGGAGACTGTGAAATATGCATGTACACCTGCACAAACGAAGGTGGGAGGGAAATGGGGCTTTGCACAGCACAGAGGAGCACAGTGGAGTGCTGTGTTGTTGAACACTCTTGTCTACTCTCCATTAATGACCCTACACACAAAAGACCAGTCAATGCCAGGTCTCACACCATACTCACGCCCTCTCACTGCTTAAGCCCATTGTTGCTCTCACTGTGACAACACACCTCATTGAAATGCTTCATTTTCCCCATTGATTGTCCACTTTTCTAATCATGATTTCCTGTTGTGAACACTGGTCCCTTTGATAACATGCTCAAAATATCCCAGACAGAGCCCACCTTCCTTTCTTCTAAGGGTCACTAAGACTGCACTTCTTCCTGGAAAGATTGATTTCTTCTTTTGACTGTTCATGGGAATATTCAGTATTCTTGGACAACACACTGTTCAAAGGCATCAAGTCTTTTTCAGTCTTTCTGATTCAATGTACAGCTTCTACACACATTGATCTACAGATACTGATTATGGATTGAAAGAAACACGATCTGTTATGTGAATCTTTTCTTTACATTGAGCTATGATCAACACTTTAGGGTTGAGGATTTATATCTGTGAAACAACCAGAACGTTTATATGATTTACCTTTTTGCCTTATGGTGATCTGTGATTCTTGGTGGTGGTCTGGATTGAGTCCTCAATATGTCAGAGGCCTCTTCCAATGGCCAACCTCCCAGCATCATAGCAACACGTAAGTGACCACAGTACAACACTCTGACAGGGGAGTGGTGGAAATCATTTGGGGAATGAGCAGAGGTTCCTAAGTAAAAAGCTTCAATGGGATGAAGATTATTTTCCTAATGAAAGAGTCACTGACAATCAACATTCCTAGCAGCTGAAGTACCCTGGAGAGGGGTTCTGTGTGAGGCACCAGCAGCATTTATACAGTCCCTGCAAGCTGGCTGCAATAATTGTTGACGTACATATGAAAATGGGGTACAATAAAGGCTATAATCGGTGCCCCTGCATTCACTAAATTGTGTCATTCTCTCCCCAGATGATTCATCTCTCCATGGTACTGCTCTTGCGAGTGCAGTGCTAGGTGGCTTCCTATATGCCTTGGAAAAGTACCCACAAGCATACGGACATCTACCCGACCTACAGAGACAATTACCAAGGTTAAATTTCCCTTGAGAAAGATGGATCCAAGAATACCAATTGAAATGAGATATACCCTTTCAATCCTTTCCATTCAATCTAGGGTATTCTTTTTTCTTTTCTAATATAAGGACTTTTTTAATTTGAAAATAAAAGTCAAGGGGGTTGTTTTTATATTGTTTTAATTTGTAATCGTTTATTTACAAAATTTGAATACATTGTTTTCAAGAACAAATTCTATCAAATTCCCTCACCCCCTCATCAAGTTTTATAACCCCATGATTAATCTCTCCTCCCCATGAACATCCTCATCTCTCTGGTTCCAACCTCTCCCACCCCTCTTGGATCCTTATACTCACTCTACAATAATGCTTTTATACAATATTTATCCTTGTGGGACTGAGTTAGTTCACCCAGCATAATGTGCTCCAGTCTCTCCCAAGTTAGGGAAGAGTTTACAAAATCATTTCACTTGCATGTTGCCTAGTATTCCATTGTGTACCATAATTTCTCAATCCATTTTTTTTTGTGGTTGGACATTTGGGCTGTTTCTGTGTTCTTGTGGTGGTGATTAATGCTGCTATAAATATTAGTGTACAAACCTCAGTTTGTGCCTCAGTTCTCATTTTCTCAGTGTATATTCCAAGTAGTGGGATAGCTGGGTTACATGGAATTTATATGTTTAGTATCCCAGGTATTCTTAGAGCCCATTCCATGAAATAAACAATCTAAATACATCATGTTATATTGTTGGGGTTTACAGGGAATGTGGGAGTCTGTCCAGTTAAGGTGATTGAACCTCCTTTCTGTTCTTGACTGCACTTCCTCTGGGGGCCCACTTCTCCACTGGTTATCCAGCTAACACAAAACATCCTGGGAATGAAGTCCATGAAGGAATAAATGACCTGCATTCCTAGAGACCAGAAAGTTCTCCAAACCATCCCTTCTCTATTCCCTTAAACAAAAACTGATGATAGGAAACAAACCTCCTAATTTCAAGTAATTATTCACATTGTGTTGTTGACTGAGTGTAAAGTTTAAAAAACAAGACAGATCACTAAGAATGTAGAAGTAAACAGAAGTAAAGCAGGAGGCCAGCAGTTCCAACAACTGAAGAGCTAAACCCAGCTTCCTTTATTTAGAATCAAGGGAAATAAATCATAAAGAGAATTCTTTTTTAAATGAAGCCAATTTCCCCTCTACCGTCAGCCTAATGCTTAGCTCAGGAAGGAAATAGTTCATAAGTACAGACTTCAAAATGCTCCCTCTGCAGGGGGCTTTAGCTGCCTCTTGTCTGCAAGATGCAGCTCATTTCCTATGATCTATCCCAAGAGGAATTCCAGCTTGTATTTTGTGTTTTCTTCAATTCCTCATTTAAGCGTATGTTATATCATATACTACTTGGTTTGAAATTTGTCTTCCCACATTTTCCTCCATTTGTTTTTTATCATAATTATGTTGTCATCTAGATAAACACAGTTTCTTCTTTTCTTTGATTCATTTTTGCCTGTTTTTATTTTCTCCATCATTTATACACAATTATAACAAATTAAGCAAAATAAGCTCACAAAAATACTTCTAAAAATCTCCATATGATCAGAATGATTCTTTGCAGAATATGTTATTAAAATAATCCAATTGCTTATCAAAAGTAGAATGAATCTGAGTGTGTAATTTCAGTATAGCATCTATGAAATTACCAGGATTCATTCCATTCAGTATCATTTCACTTTACTGGAGTAACACAAAACTGTGTAGTAGTCCAACTACATTTCATTTTTATTTGTCTTTGAAAAATCCATATCTTTTCTGAATCTTAAAGCCACATTTTTACATAAACTAAGGCGTCAATACTTGATGCAAAGCCTTACCAGCTGTAGCAGCTGTGGCAGTAATGGCGATAATTCCCAAACTACGTTACGCTCAATAACTGGTATTATCTACCATTCTACTTATCCATTCTGCAACTCCGTCCTTGTCAAAGCATAGCCTCTTCTGGCTCAGCTCAGTCTTTCTTGTCTCTGGATGACGCCCAAAGTGTCTCTGAGCCTGTACAAATACATGCAAATCCTGGATCCTAATGAATGGCAAATCCCTTTTTCCATTCATTAATTAGATGTTCTTTAAAATATAGAGGCTGATTAAATTCTTTAGATGATTGTAATACCCAGTGTGTTTCAGCTGGTGTCTCTCCCTCTAATTTAACAGAAATGGAAAAGTCCAGAGAGTTCAGAGTAGGGAAAATCTTTTAGAAATTCTGCTTTTCCAACCTGAAAGGAACCTGGGTAGCATGGTATGTAATATATTAGCTGTTATCTGACAGATTGACAGTTCAAATACACCAGTCTCTCCACAGGAGAAAGGTAGGCAAGTTTGTTGCCTGAAAGATGTGTAACCTCGTAATATAATGAAGCTGAGAATGACAGCAATGGGTATGATTTTGTTCTGATTATTATGACAACCCACGGACAAAATATTTTCTACCTCGTGAATGGAAATGCCACTTAGACTGTTGGTCTTCTGGGCTAGTAGACGTGCAGAAGATTTAAAAAAAGGCAGAGAAGGAGCTGACAACCCACCTCAATAAGAGGGAACCAGTAGCTTGACATCCACTTTTTCTTGGACCAGATAAAACACTGAGTCCTCTCTTCCAATGAAAAATCACAGCAAGTATCCTTGGGAAGGATACTGGATTCTTTAGATGAGAAGCTTGAAATAATCAAAGCAAAAGTTGGCAATTATTGAGTCCTTTATGTGTACTGAATTCTACACTTAGACTTTACAAGTGCTACCTTGCTAGTACCACTACAGCCCAATGACATTTTCAAAGTGTTAACTCTTCAACTGGTTCTACTAATTTTTTCCCTAAGTTTTAGAGATTTTCCACATGTAAGATGACTTTAACTAGTTGTTGAAATATTTTTACTTTGACTGTTTTGAATGCCTTTCATCTCCTTCTCTTGAATTAGTGCTCTGGTGAGAACTTCCAACACTATATTGAATAAAAGTGGTGATAAAAGGCATCTTTGTCTGACTACTGTTCTGATGGGTAATATACCTTTATTACCTCTCCACTGAGAATAATGTTGACCACTGAGTTTATATATATATGTATACTTTCCCTTCTCTTTTTGATAAGCATTTCTCTCAGAAAAGTGTTGAATTTTGTCAAATGAATTTTCTGTATCCATTGAGCCATTGACTTGATCAAGGAATTATTTTCCTTTGCTTTATTTATATGGTGAATTATATTGATTGTTCAACAATGCACTATCCTTACGTACTTGGTATTAATCACATTTGATCAAGAAAAATTTGGTTATTTGGTTTTGGAAAATATAAACACACGTACATACACACACACACACACACACACACACACACACACATGATATAGGACTCTAATGGTTAGATAATTCCGTCTATATTTTATAGATAATGAAAATGAGGCATACTTTTTCAAAGGTACACAGTTAAAGCTGTGATCTTTCAGAAGTATATCAGGCAATTTGCTTTCTGTTGCATCTCTGGATGGGTTAGAAGTACCAGTCTTCCAGCTTTTAAGCAAGGGTTTAATGTTTGTGCCCTCCAGTGTACCCAATATTGAGGTAGGTGCCACTATCCTCATTGTAATGTTGAGGAAACTGAGGCACAAATAAGCTTCATTGTTTTACCAGAAGACACAGAGGTAGTTAGTGTTGGACGTGGGATTTGTATTTAGATAGATTAGGAACCTAATACACCCTGTTAGCAGCTATCCTGCCACTAGTCAAATAACATGACAGCAGTCTGTACGTTGCTGTGTCAGGACATAATGATTCTGTAGACATCTTCGCACATAATCTACACTTTCTTTTTGGTTTTGAATGCCACTGAGTCAGAATCAATCATAGGTGAACCTCCAGTGGTTTTTGAGAGGCTGTAATTTTCATGGAGAGAAGACTCTCGTTCTAACACCTCAAGCAGCAACTGGTGAATTCTGTCTGCCTTTGTGTTGTAAACACCTCTTTACAACCTGATCACAAAAGCTGTCCTAGTTTCCAAGTATACAGATAATTTGTTCTTGGGAAGACTGTTTTACAGTGTGGTCTGGTCTACAAGCAAAGATGGGAGACCTCATATTACCTAAACACAATTCCTGTTCCTCCATCTTTACCACCAACTCCCCAGCTACCATCTTCTTTAATGACCAGAGGACAAGTAGGTAGAACCAACACAGTGGCTGGAAGAGGTAGTCCAAGCTTTTACCGAATTGAAAAGGATTTTCAGGAATTGAGGTGGACCTGAAGCTCTTGCTGCAGAAGGTCAAGGACTCTAGTCTTCAATATGGATTAAAGCTTAACATCAAGAAGACAAAGATTTTCACCACTGTGCCAATTGACAGACACATGATGGATAGAGAAGAGACTGAAGTTGTTACAGCTTGTATAGCTCCACAATCAAAACTCTTGACACTAGCAGTCAGAAAATCAAAAGAGGAATTGCATTAGGTAAAACTGCTCTCAGGGACCTTTCCAAAGTACTGAGAATCAACGATGCCAGTCTAGAGGCTAAGGTACACTTGATCGAGGGGATGGTCTTTGCAATTACTTGCTATGCATTATTTAGAGAGCTGAATAATGACTAAGGCTGATAAAAGAATCGATGCCTTTGAGTTGTGGTGCTGGAGAAGTCTTGAACATGCCATGGATTATCAGGAAAAAAATAAGTCTGTCCGGAGAGGATGAATCCAGGTTTCACCTTGGAGGCTAGGATTTTGAAGCTCCGTATCACATACTTTGGACACGTGACCAGAGGGATCAGTGCTTAGTCCATCATGCTTGGAAAGGTGGAAGATCCCGGATGAGATGGATTGATACAGGAACAAGGCAATGCGGTTGCTGTGTTGGAGTCAGTGAGATTAGCTCAGGACAGGCCAGGTTTCAGAGTTGTTGTTCATAGGATCGCTATGGGTCACAAGTAACTCACTGGCACCTAACAACAACACTTTCTTTAGGGCCTTACTCAAAACTGCTCAAGAGTTGGGGTCAGCAAAA